TCATCGGCAGAGATTAATATAGAAGACTCTGCCTTAGGACTAGAATTCTCCGGAAGAGACGCAAACGGCTGTAGAGTGATGGGTATAGTCAAATCTAGAAGATTGGCGACCACCGTGTTGCCAGATTCCGGTTTTCTTTGGAAGCTGCCTGACAGATGGACGTTGGAGCAGGCGGCGACAATACCGGTCGCTTACGTCACTAGTTACTACGCTCTGTTTGTACGGGGTCAATTGAAGGCGAGCGAAAGCGTGTTAATTCATAGCGGCGCGGGCGGCATCGGTCAAGCAGCGATCACCATCGCTCTGCACGCCGGCTGCACAGTCTTCACCACCGTCGACACTCCGGAGCAACAGCTCTTTCTCAAAAAAGCCTTTCCGCAATTGATCGAGAAGAATATTGGTAATTCTCGAGATACGAGTTTTGAGCATCTGATCTCCGACCAGACCCAAGGACGTGGAGTTGATGTGGTACTGAACTCGCTAATTGGAGAGAAACTGCACGCCAGTATGCGGTGCCTCGCGAAGAACGGTCGTTTCCTCGAGATCGGGAAACACGACATGTTGAATGGCAATCGTGTAGATATGTCGGTATTTTTAAAGAACATTTCCTTCCACGGTATATTTCTGGAGACGCTGTTTGACGAAAGCGAAGATAAACAAAAAACGATTAAACTGATGACAGAGGGAATCGCGAAAAGCGTAGTGCGTCCATTACCGACGACCGTATTTTCGAAGCAAAAGCTCGAGGAGGGATTTAAATTTATGATGACGGGCCAGCATATCGGTAAGGTACTGTTGAATATTCGACACGAAGAACCGCAAAAACACATGATGCCGATGTCGAAGATGATGACGACCGTATCGCGCTCCTACATGCATCCGGAGAAGTCGTATGTGCTAATCGGAGGTCTCGGTGGCTTCGGTCTAGAACTAGCCAACTGGATGGTCGCTCGCGGCGCTAAAATCATCATTCTTGTGTCTCATACCGGCATACGCACCGGATACCAGATGTTGCGGATACAACGTTGGCGCGAGAGTGGCATCAAAGTCGTCATTTTCACGGCGGACGTGACGACGCCTTCTGGCGCCCTAAATTTGATCGAGGAGAGTAACCGGTTGGCTCCGGTAGGCGGTATATTTAATCTGGCCGTTGTGTTGCACGACGCCTTGTTCGAGAACTTGCAGGTGGCCGATTTCGAGGCTGTAAATTTGCCAAAAGTCGAGGTTACGAAGAATCTGGACATGGCATCGAGAAAGTTCTGTCCGTCGTTAGATTTTTTCGTCGTCTTCTCGTCCATATCCTGCGGCCGTGGCAATCTGGGTCAATCCAATTATGGTCTCGCAAATTCGGCCATGGAGAGGATGATGGAGCAGAGAAATGCCGCTGGTTTGCCCGGTCTCGCTATTCAATGGGGTATTATAGGAGACGTTGGATTGTATATAGGTGAGACTTAGTTTTCTATTTCTTTCGATCACTTTTTGGATTGCTTCTTATGATTCTTTATAAACTCCTACCTATATAAAAATACCTTCAATAAAAATATACACAATAGTTTGCACGAGACTCTTTGAAGAAAATAATTATATATTATATTATGTTTTTATTAATGATGAGATGATGTTTTTTATTAATACAAACATAAATAGAAACAACTTTTTATTGCAAGAAAGATATAAATACATTAAAGTATAAGAATTGAGAGTATGAATTAATTTATATAAGATAATTACAAACTAAATAATGTTATCTTTAAAAAAAGATAACAAAATAAATGTTTGAATAAATAAAATGTTTTAGCTAGATAAAGTAATAATCATTTATCATATTCATATCATTCTACCATACTCTTATTTTTTACAGATACGATAAAAAATAAAAACATCAATGAAGGTATTTTACCACAACGTATGAGCAGCTGTCTTGCAACCATGGACATTTTTCTTCGGGAATCGTATCCTGTATTGGCATCCACAGTGATAGCCGAAAAGCACAAATCCGTGAACGATGGCAAAGTTAATTTTGTTGAAGTCATTGCCAGTATCCTTGGTTTTGAAAATGTCTATTCGATGAATTTCAACGACACCTTTGATAAGCTCGGCATTGATTCGCTAGGCTACACAGAGATCAAGCAGATTCTTGAACGAGAATATGATATCATATTATCGTTCCGAGAAATACAAGCCTTGACGATAAGCAAATTACGAGATTTATTAACTGCGACCGATGTATCTGGCAATTCTCCAACGAGTTAAAAAAAGTGTAGATAAGAAGATCGCAAGTCTTTTGCAGTATATATGTTAAATACAAATTAATATAAGATATTTTTTAATTTTTTAAATATTCTTTTTTTAAAACTTTTCTATGTCACGTACCGACAAATTTTCATCGCTCTCGGTTAGATTTATCTTAACTCAAACTACAATAACATCCGATACGCGGGATCGCTAGAATTTGCTTATCGTCACGTATTGACAAATTTTTATCGCTCTCAGCTGGACCTATCCTAAACTAACATCCGATATGCAGGATTGCCAGGGTTGTTTATAAACCTTATAAACAAACCTTATAAACAAAATCTTATAAACAAACCGAGATAAGGAGCCTCCCTCCTTCAAAATTCATAGATGGAGGTGGTAAAATTTCGAGTATAAATACGAGGTGTGTTTAAAAAGTATCGCGAATTTTGTGTTTTTTCAAAAATTATTTATTTATTCATGAATATCTATTTTGTCCCCTTCAAAGTAATCCCCACCAGATATTATACACTTGTGACAACGTTTTTTCCAATCTTCGAAGCACTTCAAAAAATCATTTTTTGTGATCTTGTTCAGCTCCTCCTTCGATGCCGTCTTTATCTCCTCAATCGTAGCGTAGCGTCGTCCTTTCATGGGCCTCTTCAGTTTTGGGAACAAGAAAAGTCACAGAGGGCCAGATCTGGGGAATACGGTGGCTGCGGCATTATTAGTGTGTTGTTTTTGGCCAAAAATTCGCGCACAAGCAACGATGTGTGAGCAGGGGCGTTATCATGGTGCAAAAGCCAATTTTTGTTCTTCCACAAATCCGGGCGTTTCTGGCGGATTGCTTCGCGCAATTTGCGCATAACTTGCAGGTAATATTCCTTATTGATCAATACTATTTTCTTCACTTCATCAATGTTTTCGTCTGTTGTTGACGTGCTCGGGCGTCCGGCACGCTCTTCGTCGTTCACAGCTTCTCGGCCCTCGGAAAACATTTTGTACCACCGATAAACGTTGCTTCGGTCCAAGGTAGCTTCACCATATGCCACAGTCAACATTCGGAATGCGTCCGCGCACTTAATTTTGTTTTTCATACAAAATTTGATACAGATTCTTTGATCCATTTTTTGAATAGGCAAAAATCGAAGACGAGCCAAAACACGTGCAAGCAAAGCAGCTGTCATAAATTAACTGAACATTCAAAATGGCCGTACTTGTCGGCATAAATGAGAAACATGAGTACCAACATATAACGCCACAAAAAAATCGAAAATCGAATATACGTAACCCGCGGAAATTCAAAATTCGCGATACTTTTTGAACACACCTCGTAGAGCTAGAAAAACGCTGTGCATCGCAGTTGAAATCTTAACAAAATCTTTGTCGTAACTATAGCTCTCCGCGAACTTCGACTGTCATCCTTCGTTTCCTTATTCTTACGTTACGACTAATCCAGTACTTTAGACTTATAATTTTGTAACCACTCATAGAATAAAAGATAATTGATAATACCGCAATAAGCTCAGTTATTTGGCATCTGATCCAAGTTTTGATTAAAATTTACATATAACGTAGGACATCTCCGAGAGCGGGGAACGGACTTTTCGCTGACAAAGAGTGTAGCGAATTGGTAACCGGCGCTGTCGAAGATTGTAGCGCCTACGAACACTGCTCTTGGTGTATGAAATTATTTACCATTATTCTCAAATCGAGCTTACCCCTTTCGCTGCCAAAGAGCGTAGCGAATCGGACTAGTCGCTGCCTTGCGTAGGGACTTTAAGTTCATTTTGGGAGCTTCCGTCGTATTTAACATTCTCATGAAGAAAAGGGCAGGTAAACGGGTACAGCTCAAACGGCTCAGATACCAGATAAAACAAGCGATTGATTTGCAACAAGATTTCTTTCACCTCTCGCAAAAACTCCAAGATTTAGAGCCAAACACCCAAATCAAAAAACCTCCTACTATTCCTTACCAACTAACTATAATTAACGTCGAGCCTGACTATCCCGACTATCGCCGCATTAACAAAACTGATCCGCGTTATAAAGTTTATAAACTAAGATTCCTGTTCGGGACTGAAAACTAAGTACACACAACCCGTCCAACTCTCGGGTAAAGTATTTAAATATACTGACCCAAAAACGGACGAACGAAAACGTAACATCTAATATCTGAATGATGGTGATTGTATTATACTGTATTTTATAAAACTAATACAGTTTCTCTAAAATTATACGATTGTATTTTTAAATTGATCTATTAAATTTAACGTATTATAATTAATCTTGTGTTTTTACTTGTTTAATACAATTATGTGTATTTAAATAAGTATAATGAATTTTAAACATTCGAATTTTCGAAAAATGCTAATTCAAAATGAAGCTCTTTCATCGGTGCTAGTTACTTTAGGCGTCAATCAATGTGAGTGGCTGTGGTCATTTATAACGTTGGAGACACTTTGCAAACAAAGAAAAAATATATAAGGGCGATAATACATGTATTATACGTAAAAAAAGTATTATACATAAGGTACGTTCAAGAATTATCCTTTTAGCGCTTTGACCTTATTTATCAACGTTTTTCCGAACGAACTCATCTTATCTTTAAGCCCCATACACAATGCCAGGCAACAGGCAATAAGAAATAGAAAATATCTACCAATAAGAGCAGAGAATATCTTCTCCTTTTCCGATTGGTCATATTTTTTATTTCTTATTCTTTTTAATATTTAAAAAATTTCTTACATCCCAATACAAATAACAATATTGCAGTCGCCCACCATAATTCATAATTTATTATTATTTTTTAATACAATTTTAATAATGTCAAAGTCAACTATAATTTATAAATTACTACACATAAAATAACTAATAATTAAAGATGCACCTGCATCGGCTGCAATAGTTATTGGCTCATGTATATAGCGTTATCTGTACGAACGGAAATCCCCTCTTTCATTGAAACGTTGTAATATAACCACGAGATTACGAACATGTACACGCTTTTGCAACTTTTAATACTTGGCATTTTCGTTACTTTGCAAAACTCATATAAACGTAAGTATTTTATATATTATTTTTTTAGAATAATTGTGTCTACATGTAGTACGAATAGTGTAAAAAAATATCAATTTTATTTTTATTTTTTTATCCAAGATTTTTATATAACTTATATATGAAGATATTTTTTAAATGTAAAATTGATATAAAATTTTTAATTAGGTATTTATATAAAAATTTATAATTATAATAGAAATTATGTTATAAATATCTTCATTTTTTTTCCTGCAAAATGGTTTTTAGGTTTAGACTAACTAGACGCTTTACATCTTGACATTTCATCTAACAATTTTCTATTATGGCAATGAATAGAAATACCACAGTGGATCCTGAGTACGAGAACTTTGTATTACAATAATATAATATTTTATTAAATTTATTAGCAGCTGTTATAGTTTTCACATGTATAACATGTAAAGCTGCAAATAACTTGAATTCTATATAATATCATACAATATTTAGCATATTGAAAAAATTATTTACTTAATTAATAATTCTATTTTATTCTAATCTAAGTAATTTATGTAACTGTTAACTGTATTATACAATTTATCATTCTTTTAGGGATTGCACAGCATTTTCAGTAGCACCAAGATTTCAGCTACCATTAATTCAAACTCCACCTGATTTAAAAATTGCATTGCAAAGACATTTGCAAGAAGATAATAACCTTTCACAAAAATGTCTTGATTATATAAAATGCATTAAGAGTTTGCATAATGTACAAAGGCTAAATTATGATTATTATTTAACTATACTAAAAATGTGCTTATATTTAGAGCAGTTTGAATTAGATTGTGAACTGGGACGGTACAAATTGTTAAATCATAAAATTAAGAACTCCAATTTAAATGAATGTTTCTTTATTGATTTACCATATATGAATAAGGAAACTCCTATAGTTGTACCAGATGATAAAGTGTATCGTACTGAAACTATTACAAAAGAAACAATTTGCGCTAGAGTTTTGAAGATAACAGAAAATCAAATAACAATACAGCCAGAGTTTTTTTAAGTAAGTTTACAATTCTTTTATTATGTATTAATAGGAATATAGCATACATTTATAATTTATAATATGATTATTATTAAATAACAGAATATAGAAAACATAAATGTATTGAAATTATTAATTTTGTATAATAGGTATAGAAATGCAAGAATATTCAAAGACGAAAACAAGAGGTTTAATATAAATTTTGGGAGTAAACATTATCCATTAAAATGTTGCCATTATGCATTGATGATAATGAGTGAAAAAACACAATTTAGAAGAAATTATATATCCTAAACTCAAAATAAATAATACAGATTTAAAAGAGTAAGTTTTTAAACCATTATTAATATTTACATTTACATTGCTTTTTAGCAAATTTTTTCAATTTCAAATATATGTTTTATATAGTAACATTAAATGGATAAACACTAAGATAGAACAGAATGAAGAACAAAAACAAGCGATAAGGAAAATCTTGTGTAATACAGCATACCCAGCACCTTATATAATTTTCGGTCCTCCAGGCACTGGGAAAACAGTAACATTAGTCGAACTTATATGTCAAGTAATTTGTTTTCTTTTTATATCTAACACATTTTATTTTTTTTTATTAAATTAATTGTCTTATAAAATATAAATGAAATAAATTTATGTTAATACATAAAATTAATTCGGTGAATTAAAATTATGTCGAGACAAAATAAAAATTCGAAATTATTATTATGTGGCGATATAATTTCAACTTATCGAATTTTTATTGTGGCTACATAATAATAATTCGATGAATTAAAGTTATATCGCGACATAAAGATATTTCGATAAAATAAAATTACATCTAAACATAATAAAAGTTCGATAAACTAAAATTATGTTTGGGTATAAAAGTAACTCTCTATTCTTATTATGTATCGACATAATTTTAATTCATCAAAATTTTATTATGTGGCGACACAATAATAATTCGATGAATTAAAATAATATCACAACATAAAAATAATTCGGTGAATGAAAATTATGTCGAGGCATAATAAGAATTCGAAATTATTATTATGTCGCGATATAATTTTTACTTATCGAAATTTTATTTTGTGGCGACATAATAATAATTCGATTAATTATATCGCGATATACAGATATTTCGGTGAATTAAAATTATGCTGCAATTATTTTTCTTATTTAATAAAAGGTAGTATGCGATGTAATGAAGGTTTGTCAAAGTAAAAGGAATAAATATATTTATTCAATGGAGAATTTTTTTACATTAAATGTTGGTATTGGCCACCATTCGCTTCCAAACATTTGATTGCCCTGTACGCAACGCTTTCTGTGGCATTCTTTATATGCCGCCGCTGTACGGTAGCAAACGCTCTTTGTACTCGTTCTTCTAATTCGTCCTGCGTTTCTATGCGGTTAAAATAAATTTTCTCTTTCTGCGCACCTCACAAGAAAAAATCACAAGGATTCAAATCTGGTGATCTTGGTGGCCATTGCCAGAAAGGTGCTCCACGACCCATCTAATTATTTCCATACGTATTATTTAAGTATTCTCGGACAGGTGTTGTTATAGTTAAAACAATAAAATTAATAATTAATTAAAATTAAATAATTAATTAAAACAATTTTAGAACCAGTAATTAATGATATTTATAAAAAGTTTCAATTAGAAAATTGAATTAATACAAAAATCATTTATGCGAAATAAAAATCGATTAAAAAATATATTTGAATAAATAAAAAATTGTTGTTATTGCATTGATGTACGATATTTTATGCACTTTTTGCATGCAATTTTTATTCAAACATAATTTTAATCTACGAAAAACAATATTTATCCGTATAAAATAAAACTTCTTTAAAACTAAAAATTGTGAAAATACAAACATTGAAATAATAGCAAAGCGTCATGTGTTTATTAAAAATCAGAAGTTTAGAAACTTTCAGAAGCTAGTACAATATTTTATGATATAAAAAACATATTGCAAACTAATACTAATAGCTGTAAATTCTTTATAAGTTGTACTAAAAAAATTTAAACTTTGCATTAATTTGTTATTTAATTGAGACCTGAAAATTTTTATTAAAACAAATTATGTTTTCAAAAATATGTTTAATAATTTATAATAATTGTAACCTGCATTGTGCGCTGGACATCCATCATGCATAAAATTGATGTTACGTCGAAATAGCGGCATATCGTCGATAGCAGCGGGAGGAAAAAGTAAATTTGGCAACTCATCACGCAAAAAGTCCAGATAATTTAAACCATTTAATCTTTCCGGCAAGAATACTGGTCCAATCTAAGGATAATTATTTGAAATTCATCATAAATAAATTACACATTATGGCTTTATAGAAATTTTTTCTATTGACAAAAGCAGAAGTAAAAAAACGGAATGTTTACAAATGCTAAAATAATTATCTAAATGAAAAGCTTATATATATATATATATTATATAAATTTCAAGAAGGCCTAAATTTTAAAACTAAATCATGAATAAGTTTTCTACATTTTTTTTCGCAAATCTGACAGTTTATCGTAATTAAATAACTTACATTATTTTTAAACACTACATGCTACTGAAATTACTAACTTGAAATTTATTAAAATATTTTTATGTAAAAGTTATTTACCAGCTCATCATCGATCAAGCCAGCCCAAACATTGACTTTAAATCGATATTGAGATTTATTATCCCACGTCAAAAAAGGATTTTCAACGCCATAATAATGATAATTATGAGAGTTGAATGTTCCATCTTGTGTAAAAGTGCATACGTCAGTCCATAGTACACGACGAGGAAATAATGGATTCTCGGATGATGAATACAAACGGATCATATTAAAATAATTTTCCATAAAATATGCCATGATTCACGATGTTTCTGTACATTATTGATAGGAATAAAAAATTTAATTTTTTGAATAATAAATTATAAATTTATTTCTAAATAAAGTATTACACATATAAAAGGCTAATAAGAGCAGAAGTAATATTACGGTTATATAAATTAATTTATTACATTTAATCAATATACATATACTGATAGAAACAATAAAGTTTAAATTAATATAAAATTATAAAAATAAACTCAAAAGTTAAAACAAATGAAAAAGCGAACGTTTCGATCCAATTTTTCGGATCTTCTTCAGCGCAGTACACAAAGCAAATTAAAATCACAAAAGTCTAAGGTTCATGTTTAACGTATAAAAGTCTAATAAACATATTTAAACGCGGTTACATCAATAAACAAAATAAAACGTCGTAAGATTAACACTAAGATGATTCTCACTAATCCATCACATTTACGTAACTGAAGAAGATCCGTGTTCGCGAGCGGACTTGCAGCGAGCAACTTCAAAAGAACTTGCACTTTTATTCTCACTACTCGGATAACGCAAGCGATTATAACAATTATTTCGATTCCGGAGTTAAGAACTATTATGCCCCGACGCATCTTGCCGGCGAAAATCGTGTCAGAATTCGAATCGATGTCCAAAGGGTAGCCGTATCCGTAATAATTTTCGCGTGTACAGATTCTCGGTTATCTTGTCGATTATCGAAAGGCGACTGCGAATCGCGCTCGACTTTTGCGCTTTATAAGGACACTGATCCTTCTAGAAAGATCCAGCGGGAAAACAAACCGACAACAAATTTTGTTATTCGGGTCTTTCTAGAAGGAACGAAAAGGTATGTTTTAAACAAATATTTATCACGGCTGGCGGTATACAATGGCCCGAACGGACGCGTTCGCTGGCCGTTGCGCTGCGGCTTATTGTTAGTGACAGCCGTCTCTCTCTTTCCCGCTAGCGCGCATCGACTCGCAGCTAGAGCGGGAAAGAGAGAGACACTATTTCGCGCTCTTGTCCTTTTTTTCGCGCTGATCAGAACAATCCGAAAAATTGGATCGAAACGTTCGCTTTTTCATTTGTTTTAACTTTCGAGTTTATTTTTATAATTTTATATTAATTTAAACTTTATTGTTTCTATCAGTATATATTGATTAAATGTAATAAATTAATTTTTATAACCGTAATATTACTTCTGCTCTTATTAACCTTTTATATGTGTAATGCTTTATTTGAATTAAAGAGCATTTAATTAATATATTTTTTAATTTTAGATACGTTGATGATATCCTAATTTGTATTCCCGAAGACAGTTATTAATGTACTACATAGTTTTAATAGTTATCACGATAGATTAAATTTCACGATGGAACGATAGGATAATCATAGAATAAATTTCTTGGACATATCTGTCATAGTTATTAACAATATAATATAGATTGATTGGTTTCATAAAAAAACTTTTTCAAGAAGAACTTTATCTTTTTCTCAAATCATCCCATATGTTACAAAAAAAGGCGTTATTTATAATTTAGTGGACAAGGCAATATTATTATCTCATCCGATTTTCCATAGAAAAAATATAGGGTTCGTTATTAATATGCTAATTGACAATGGTTTTCTTCTTGACCTCATTTTCAATGAAACAAACTGTAGAATAAAATTTTTAATAATGAATAAATTAAATGTAAATACTTTTACTAAGACACATATTGACAACCTTATAAAGGAAGATGAAAATAATAAATTTATCGCGATTCCATATATTGAAGGAACATCGGAATTAATTGCGTCTTCAATTAAAAAATCTAACATAAAAATAGGATACAGATGCATAAAAAGATTGAACAGTTTCATTAAACCTCAAAAAGATAAAAATGAACAATTTAATAACTCTAATGTAATATATAAAATAAATTGTAGATATTGTAAAGCTACATACATTGGACAAACAAAAAGAAAACTTTGCACCTATCTTAAGGAGCATAGGAATAATATTAAGTCGGACACAACAAAACTATCAGTGATCTCAAAACATATGTTAAACTTTTCACATTCTTTTGAAAAATTCAAAAATTTTAGATTATGAAAGTAATTATCAAAAAAGATTAGTATCGGAAATGTTACATATCAAGAAACATATAAATAGTATTAATTTAAAAAAAGATATTGAGTCATTGGAAAATTGTTATTTTGATGTTCTAGAAAAATTATCGGTAACGTGATAGGGTTTGTCTTTTGTGCTGACTTATTATTATATTAGTATCATTTGAGATGATCAGAATAACACATCAAGAATATGTGTATAAAAAGAATAATAGTGTTTTGCTACAAGACAAATTATATTCCGAAAACTAAAATAAATACGTCAGTTTTTGTTTTTATGATATATTTTATGATAGTTACTTATGGCTAATTATTTAATAACAGGTAACTTTTATTGACTTCTGATCAAATAAAAAAATTCAAAAGAAAATAAGGGACACCGTAATAATAATTTGTGACCACGCCTGCTTTCTAATATTATTGTAAAATTTAAGCTGACTATTATAAAATTTCAATAGGGATATGTTAATATTGTAAGCGAGAGTTCAAATGATTAGTAATCTGCGTTAATCGGTTTTAGTCATTGATAGGAAATAGAACATGTTTTAACCGAATTCGAGACTGAATGTAAAAATGTTATTTTGTCATCTAACAACAATTTATTATATTGAGAAAGACTGCCGTGCAGTCGAAACGTTTATGTATATTA